CAAGCATCTGCAACGTTTGACCACATGATCGCTTCCGAGAGGCAGGGGGCTGCGGTGGATCGCCGCAAGTGTCTTCGATCCGGCGCCCGCCTTGGCTTTCCGCAAGGGTGCTCGGCGGGCTAAACAGTGTAGCAAATGGCACGGCGGCCACCGTCCTGACACGCCAGCCAGCGGGAACTACGAGCATCGTCTAACCGATCCCCATCCCCACCGGTGTAGCCTAAGACCCAGTGGCCGATTTGCCCCCCTAGACGGCAGGATATGGGCTGCTCCCTTCTGGTTTCGAGGGGTATATCCACAACTGGGGAGGTGAGATGGTGGGTCTCGGGATGGGGATGGGGATGGGATCGGTTGGACGATACTCCTCCTCCTCCTCCTCCTCCTCCTCCTCCTCCGCCTCCTCCTCCTCCGCCTCCTCCTCCTGGGAAGTACACAGAGAGCCTTCATGCGCGAGAGGACACGGGCCCCGAGAGGGCCGACCACGGCGGTGCACGAGGAGCCCAGGAGGGCGGCCCAAGAGGACCTCTCAAGGCGGCCCAAGAGAGACTCCCAAGAGACATCCTCGGAGGGCAGAGGCCACCTGAGTGGTGGACGGATCGACACCGTCGAGGCGTTGACCCAAGGAGCCCCAAATTCCACGAGGCCCCTTTTTTCCACAAGTTGATCTTCGACTCCCCATCGAAAATCTGAAGAAAACCGTAGGCAAGCCGTGAAGCAATAGCGACGAACAGCGAGCCCATCCCCACGAAAAGGGTTCCTCCTTCAGCGCCTTGACTGTAGGTCGGATCGGCGATCGAAACGAATCAGATCGGAAGAAATCGGCGGCCGAGTCGGGAACAGTCCAACCAACGAGGAAATCGGCAGGCTGGCAAGGCCCACATCGCGAATGCGGGGCCCAAATCCGAATCCGAAGTCGGATCGAACCAGAAACAACAGCCATCCGAGTCGAATCGAATCGAACCGGAGGAGTCGAAAGGAGCCCTGCTCACCAAAGGACGGACCCTCGGGAGAGCGACGGGAGGACAGCAGTCCCCGGTAGTCTCTGGGAGTTCTGAGACTTCGGGGGCCCCCGCCCTCGAAGGCTTCCGACAGCCCCCGAGACCTCCTCCCTCTCCTGACTACCTACCAGACCACCCCAACCCAACCCGAAGACCCGAATTTCGGGTTGGGGGGGGTACGGGTTCCATATGTGTTTTCTCGATGTTCCCCGACCCCCCCCAACTGGAAATGGAGGGCAAATCGAGACCTTCGGGTTGGGTTGGGGTGGTTTGGTGGGTGGTGATCTCCTCCTTCTCCTCCTCCCTTCGCAAACTGTTCCCCCACGGGTCTCCACAGCGGCTGGGAAGGCACATAGGCGAATGGCTTGGCCAAGCGTTGGTCCAACGTGTGGCCGCATCGGCGCTTCCAGAGAGACGGGGGGCCGCGGGGACTCGCCGTGGGGGCCCTCGCTTCTCAGATTGAAATCTGTCTGTTTGGCGTCAGTAACTGTCATGTCACACTTGTCTTACCGCATATTCGCGCTGGGACCCCTTGGCAACAGGGACTTTGTATTGAATTAACAACTGGCTGGTCATTCGGTCATTCCGTCCGCCCTCCCGCCCCCTGCATCAATCAAGCCAGAGACTTCGGGGTGGGAGCGAAGTGACCCCAACCGAGAAATGATCGCTTCCGGCTCGTGTCAGCATGCTTGAACAGAGACCGACAATCCCGGCACTCCTGTAGGCCTACCACGAACTGTTCTTAGAACTGAAGAATGTCGCAATCACGAACAATATTCTTAGAAGAACAAAAGAGAGAGTTGAAACAAGACGGTCTGAGCCAGAAATGCTCAAACCACGAAAAGGCTCTTAGAACAGTCTTTGGTGAGCCTATAGGCCGGCCAGGACACTTCGCCACTGCTTGACATGCGGGCGGGACGACTCTGTGTGCGGGGGCAGGGACATGCCGGCCGTTTCTCTACGGCCAAACCGGACAAAATGCTTCTGTCAGCGTGCCCAGCGTTAGCTCGGCCGTGTCCCCCGACTGGCGGATTTTGGACGAAACATAAAAAATAGTAAAAACAAAAATGCTTCGAAATCACCGAAGGTAGTAAAACATTCGTCCCCTGACTATTGTGCCACTATTTTTAAAAACATTCCTCCTGGAGAGGGACAGGCCCGACTTCAGCCCAGCGGGGGCCGTCGGAATTGTCCGGCGGCCGTCCCGTGCTGGTTTGGCCCAATGGTTTGTTGGGGCTTGGGCCTCCGTCTGCGCAAGGAGGCGCTATGGCCGCGATCCCAGGAGGCGCTGCCGAGGAGAAGCCTGGGAGCTGCGCGCGGGCCTGAGAAGCGAGGCCCAGCATCAAGTCGGGCGTGTCCCCCTACAGGCGGATTATTGACGAAAAGTAAACAATAGTCAAAAAATACACCCAAATGGTCCAAAGTAGTCAAAACATCGGTCCCTGCAGAGGGACGCGCCCGACTTGAAGCTTCGTCTGAGCCTGGGAAAGGCTTCCTTAGAAGAGCGAAAGGCGTAAACATAAACTTTGGGGCACTCCGCGCGGAGCGCGCCAGGGATCGGCGCCGGAGGCGTCGCCAGGGGGGCCCAGCGCGGATCCAAGAAATCCGTGCGGAGCGCCGGCCAAAAGTTGATGTTTACGGCGCTTGTTCTGATGGGCCTGTTTCCCACCACCGCCACCATAAATTGTAGGGGGAGGGGGTCCTCCTCCGCCTCCTCCTCCTCCTCCTCCACCTCCTCCACCTCCTCCTCCTCCTCCTCCGCGTCCTCCTCCTCGCCCTCATCCTCCTTCCCCCCTCCAGCTTATGGCGTTTCTTCCTTTATCGGTTCCTGGGAGCTACGTAAACGCCAGCGGCCGGTGCCCCCGCCTCGCGTCGGGGGATCTGCTTCGCGGGCTGCTGCCCCGTGGTGCCCCCCACCACCCCGCCTCACGTACCCGCTGCCGCTGGGCCACGGGGCTCGGCAGCGGCGGCGCTACACCGCTGGAAGCGAGAAGGCGTCGATGCCGCTGCCATTTCCTCGTCGCCACGGCTGCATGCGCCTCGACGTCCAGGTCAGAGCGCGCCTGGAGAGAGGTCCACGGTTAGGTCGGGCATGTCCTCCTACAGGCGGTTTTTGGAAGAGAAATCGAACATAGTCCAAACATGTTCAACAATACGAAAACGATAGTCGAAAAGTCGGCCCCGACTATTTTGACAACTCTTGAATACTTTTCCTGTAGAGGGACATGCCCGACTTGAACCTGGAGGGAGAGGTCCACAAAGCCTCGACTCCTCAAAGCCATCACCCATCCCTGGCCCTGCGGCCTCCCAGCCTAAACGAGGAGGGTCTGAAAACGCACCACTCCGAGCTGGGAGGGCGGCGGGGTGCCGCTGCCTGCTTCCCCCCTTCCCCCCTCCACTTCCCCTCCACCTTACCCCTTTTCGCCACCCCTCCCCCCCCCCCTTCCCATCTCCTCCTCCTCCTCCTCCTCCTCCTCCTCCTCCTCCTCCTCCGCCTCCTCCTCCTCCTCCTCCTCCTCCTCCTCCTCCTGCTTCGGTGTCGGATCGGCCGCACGCCTCCGCACACGACGCGGCATGCCAACGCCCGCAGGGCTGCTGGGTCCGATGCGGTCGGCTTCCCGGGCCGGTAACAAACGATCTGGGATGACAAACCGTCCGGGGGACTCCTGGTGGGGCCGTACAACGACAAACAATCACGGCGTCAGATGGACGGATGTCCCGGTCACTGCTTTCAACGTGGCGTGGGCTCATGAAGCTCTCGACTGACCCCTTCCTTGGCACCAACGCTCCATCCCGTGATAACTTCTTCTTGACGGGCGTAGAAGAAGAACAACAACACATAAACGCAAACTTTTGGCGCTCCGCGCGCATTTCTTGGATTCCCGCTGGACCACCCTCCCTGGCGCGCGGAGCGCGCCAGGGGCGGAGCCAGAGGCGCCGCTGGGGGGTCCAGGCGCGCAACAGTTGATGTTTATGTGGCTTCGCTTCGTCGAGGGCGTGGGGCACAGACTGGACCCCGCTGGAGGCAATCCGAGGAAAGGCGTGCCGTCTCGTCCCTGGGGGGACCGAGCCCCGACCTTCGCCTCGATGGCTTCGAGGCGGGGCCCCTGGACAGCTCGACCGCTTCCCTGGGGCACGTGTCCCGCGCAGGATCGTCTCTCGACGACCCTAGAGCCCGACCAAAAACAGGAAACATACTGATGAGAATAACCATAATAGACAATGCTAAGAAATCAGAATCAGGATAACAAATCCTAATAACCAAATCAGATAAACAATGATAAGAAATGGTAAACAATCAGAATAACCAAAAAAAGAAACAGAATGATGATAATAATCATACTGAACAATGGTAAGAAATCCCTTGTTCGAGCCGTTGGACAGATGCGATGGTAAGGCTTCGGGCTGCGCGCAGACAGCCCCCCCCCCCCCCCTCCCAGAGGCAGCCCCGGATGACCTCAACAGGCCCAGGGCGGCACCAACTGGCCCAGCTGAGCCAGGGCGGTACTCCAGATTTCGTGATCAAGGGAGGGGGGTCTCATTTCGGGGGGGGTCTTTTCCAGGCTATCTTGGAGGGCCTGGGGGGTCTGGGGACGATGTTTTGGAGGGTTCTCCCACGGGGGAGGTCTGAAACGGCTTGTCTTGGAGGGTCCAGACCCCCTCCCTTTTATTACGAAATCTGGAGTACCAACTGCCCCCCTCACAGGCAGTCCCAGCTGGCCCACCGAGTAGTCAGTAGCCCAAGGCGGTCTCAACACCTCAAATCCGGCGCGAGGAGCGACCCGGAGGCGCCGCCGGAGGCGGCGCCAGGGTGTTGAGAACGCGTTAGGCAACTCGGGGGACCCGTTGCGGCCAGCTGGGACCACTCGGGGGGCCTGTCTCGAGGCCACCTGGGACTGCCTCGGGGGACTGCCTCCGCGCAGCCTGAAGCCTCTCCAGTGTGGGAAGGGCGTCTCGGATGCGAACGCGCGCTCGGAGGCCGCGTAACAGAGCCGGCCCCACTCGTAGGCCGTGCGCAGGCTGGCCATCGCGGTGATCTCGGGGTCGTCTTGGTAAACCTCGCTGGGCCGCCTCCACACTCTCGCATCCTACCCTCCTCTCCTCTCGGGGCAGAGAGGGCTTGGGGGTCCCAAAACGGTGCGGTGACAGATCTTGCGGTGACGTCGAAATCCCCGAAGGCCTCACCGCGCGGTCCGTCACCGCACAGTGCTGGGGCCTCGGAGGCCCCAGTTGCCAAGTCGTCCCCGGAGAATGACCCGAATCCCCAAGACGTGCGGCGACCCCGAACCCCCACTGACTCACCAGGTTGGGCCACCGCACTGGCTGGGCTCCCCCGAAAACAGGGGGGTGGACAGCCTGGGAGGGCGAACTTGAAAATCGGCTGCACGCGGCTGGTTGGTTCCTGTCGCCAGGTGGCGTCGATCGCAAAGGCATGTTATGAATTATGTACGAGACGTGCGCCGAGGCGAGAGCCCTAAGCACATGCAGCAGACGTCGTACACCGCCCTTTCGAAACCCTTGCTTTTGCGCTCGCCCCCTTTTCACCCCATTCCGCTTCTCCTACCACTCCACCTAATTGAAGCCCGCACCTCTCCTGTGGCGCGTGTTGAGCAGGATTTCGAAGCGGATCTGGCCGTAGCGACAAGCCAAAATCTCCCTGCGCGCGCAAGAGGGAGCATGGAGGATGAGTTTATCTTGTGGAGCATGGTCACTTCATTATCATCCTGGGGACGGTTACTTGTCTTAACTGCTCCTGGGCCTGGAGAACGAACGTTGAGGACTGCGGGCCAACTGGGGGCCAATCAGATGGGGCCAGATAACTGCACTGCAGGGGCCAATGCATTAGCACTGCCTCAGCGAAATCGACATTGGCGAACAAAGACTAATTTCGGATCGCACTCCATCGCCGATGCTCTGGCGAAGAGGCTCCATCCTCTGTCCACAGCCACTCGCGCCCCAGTCTAGCGGCCTCCGATCGATCAACCTGATCCTCCCTCCTCGTTGTCCTCCGCCACCCTCCTTCCTCCCCTCCTCCTCCAACCTGCTCCAAAGGAGGAGGGGAAGGCGGCGGAGGAGGAGGAGGATGCGAAGAAGAAGAAGAAGAAAAAGGAGAAAGAAGTGTGTTTCCTCCGCAGGCGCACACACGGTAACCAGCATGCCAACGTGAGCGAGCTAGCCACTACCCACGGGCAAATGCGCACGGAGGACGGCGGGGGAGAGCAACGCCGGCACAAAGCAGCCAGCGGCGGTGCGCGGAGTGCACCAGAGGAGGAGGAGGAGAGGAGGCGGAGTAGGGGACCCTTGGGGAACGCTGCGCAGCGTTGCGAGAGAGAGAGAGAGGAGGACAAGGAGGAGGAAAAAGAAGAGGAGGAGGAAAAGAAGAGGAGGAACAGGAAGAGGATGAAGAGAAAGAAGAGGAGAAGGAGACGGAGGAGGAGGAGGAGGAACAGGAGGATGAGGAGGAAGAGGAGGAGAAAGCGGAAGAGGAGGAGAAAAAGACGAGGAGGATGAGAAAAAGGAGGAGAAGGAGGACGAGGAGTTCGCAGCGTTGCACCGTGGGCCTCCAAAGGCCTTCAGGTGCCTCCAACGCCGCCGGGGACCTTCAGAGACCTCGGGGGACCTCCGCCAGCGTTCCCTCCTCTTCCTCCTCCTCCTCCTCCTCGTCCTCATGCTCCTCCTCCTCCTCCTCCTCCTCCTCCTCCTCCTCCTCCTCGTCCTCCTCTCGCTGCTGCTTCTCCTCCTCCTCCTTCCCATGATCAGCGTACCAGAAACTGCGTTTTAGAAGGATTCAAGATCATGAAGGTGCAACAGATACATTGATTCGCGTTGTTGAAGTCACAAGAATGGCGTTCGGGCACGGGTCAGGATCGCCAAAACGCAACAGTCAGGGTGATCCGTGGCGATGGAATCCCGAGAAAGATGTTTTGACATGCGTCAGGGTCTTCAAACGGCTGTCTTACAACGAGGCAGTGTCCTCAGTGGAAATGCTTCCTTGTAGGGGCCTATGAAGAGGGAGCTCGGAGGGAGTGGATTCCGACATCGTTGATGACTCTTGACTCTTGGGTTTACACTGGTCCTCCTCCTTTTCCTCCTCCTCGTCTTCCTCCTCTTGCCCCTCCTCATCCTCCGGCCTTTCCTCCTCCTCCTCTTCCTCCTCCTCCTCCTCCTCCTCCTCCTGCTCCTGCTCCTCCTCTTGCTGCTGCTGCTGCTGCTGCTGCTGCTGCTCCTCCTCCTCCTCCTCCTCCTCCTCCTCCTCCCTAGCGAATTCCAAGATCCTTGCAGACAGGCTAGCCAGATTGCGGGACGGCGTCACCCGACTAGAGACCAAGCCCTCTGAAGTAACGCACCCTACAACGCGGATCGGCCGTGTGCAAATGGTCGCACCAACCGTCAGGGCCCTTTTCGCGAAGAGCTCTAGCGTAGACCAAGTATTTGCCCACGAAACAGTCCTCGCCATCCTGCTCCTGCTTCGCGTTCTCGTCCTCCTCCTTATCATCACCCTCAGTTGTTCCTTCCCTCCTCCTCCCTTCCTCTTCCTCCCTTCCTCTTCCTTGTCCTCCATCCTGCCCGTGGTAACGCCGCCTTCGCCTCCCGCGAGTCGAAGGGGTTGATCGAGGAGAGCGCGAGCATGTTCGCGAGCACCACGTACTTGAGCATGATCTTGGCCCGCGTGGCGTTCCCGGTCTCCTCCGAGCGCAGCGAGGCGGACGGCGAGGACGTCAGGAGGAAGAAGAAGAAGAAGACGAAGAGGAGGAGGACGGAGAAGATTCCGAAGAGGAATACACTGCTGCACTTCAGACAAACTGGTGGACCTCCGCGCGGATCTCCTGCATCCGCGCTGGACCCGCGGGCCAGGGGCGGCACCTGGAGGCGCCGCCACGGGGGGGCCCAGGGCGATTCCGAGAGATCCGCGCGGCACTCCGACACGGTGTCCGTGAACGGCCAGGGCACGGCAGCGTGCCACGGGCGCTCGGCCTCACCTCGCCTGCCGGCGGCCCCGCACCGCAGGCTGTGGCCCGGAGGGCGTGGGGCGTGCGCCGTGCAGGCCGTGCGGTGTGAGCCGTGGGGTGGCCTGCGGGCGGCAGCGGGCGGCGGCGTGGCGAATCCCAGGCATGCCCCGGCAGGCGGCCACGGGCGGCAACGTGGCAAGTCCTCGGCAGGCCCACGGAGGCGGCAGCGGGCGGCAAGTCCTCGGCAGATGCTCGGGATGCCCACACAGGCAGCGGCAGGTGGCCACGGGCGGCACCGTGGCGAATCCTCGGCATGCCCGCGCAGGCGGCAACGGGTGGCAACGGGGGGCGAAACCTAGGCATACCACAACAGGCGGCCACAGGCGGCGACGTGGCGAATCCTCGGCAGACCCACCCAGTTCCTCAGTGGCACAAGAAGGAGCCACCAAGTCCCGGGTGAAAGAGCTGGTTAAGGAGACCCTCCCTGTGCCACATGGCCTTCCTGCAAAATCCGTGCTGGGACCCGCTCGGGACCCCCCCTCCTCCTCCTCCTCCTCCTCCTCCTCCTCCTCCTCCTTCTCCTCCACATCATCATCATCATCATCATCATCATCATCATCATCATCATCATCATCACCATCATCAGCATCATCATCATCATCATCATCACATCATCATCATCCTCACATCGCATCGTCGAATGCCTCATCATCATCAGCTCATCAGCATCAAGCCTCATCATCATCTACCCTCATCATCCTCATCATCAGCATCACCCTCATCATCCTCATCATCAGCATCAGCATCATCCTCATCATCCCATCATCCTCATCATCCTCATCATCCTCATCATCCTCATCATCCTCTCATCATCATCATCATCATCATCATCATCATCATCATCGCTCGCGAGCGCATAAGGAGCAGCAGCCTCGACCCTCACGGCGAGGTCAGCTGCGGCGAGGCCGAGACACCGGATGAGAGTGTTCTCCGCCTCTACGGGCCACGGCGCGCCGTGAGAGGGGAGGAAGGCGAGGAGGGAGGCGGGGAGGAAGAGTACAGGACATGACGCGCTCCCTCGGCGCCTTCAATGTATGTTTGAACTTCAAGGTCGTCTCGCACCAGCGCTTGCATTGCCCCTTCTGGTCACCAAACATGGTGCTCGAGGCCGATGAGCTGCCGCTCCAGCGGCAGAGGAGAACGGTGAGGGCGAAGAGGACAGGGACGAGGGCAAGGAGTAGGAAGCGTGGGAAGGGGGGAGGAGCTGTTAAAAGGCAGTTCCTGGGAGGTCTTCGAAAGAACGGTTCAGGCCTATCACGCCAGACTCGGGGCCATGAAGCGGGAGTAAGCCTGGGACAACCCAATCATCACGCGGGTTTGAACGGGATCGAACAGGGAGGAAGGGGGAAGGGATGTGCAAGCGGAGGAGGGGAGGAACGACACCGCTGCTGCTG